ACGGGGGGCGGGGGGGGGGGGGCGCGGGAACCACAAAAAACACAAACAGCTCTTAAGAGATGCATATGAACTTTTAAGAGTCTATGCATTTTGTCAAAACACTGTAAATAACCTGGTTCATTTAATAGGGGAAAACAAAGCAAGAAAGTAAAATGAGATACCCAAAATAACTTTGAGTATAAATCATTGCAGAAGTCTTGTTGATCACTTAGGAAATAAATTAAAGCATATTTATATTTAAAACATTCCCAGGTTATCCCTTTCCAAACTTCAAACCTTGTAATCTCTCTTCAGCTTGTTTATTCTGCAGTGAATGCTGAAAATCTACTGGCTTGGTTAAGAAGGTTTACATATTTTCCCAGCACAGGGTGCCGGCAAGTTGTGGCTGTATTTGGTGCTTTCAAATGGAAAATCATTTGATCTTCACCTACAGTTCCAATAAACCCTTAATTGTATAGAGGTAACATTTATGTATGTTTTTTTATTGAAAACATTTATTCTGGTTACAAATGAAATATGTGGCAATTGTGAAAAATTTAGAAACTATTGAAAAGTATAAAGCAATGTAAAACCACCCATCATTTGACCATCCAATGAGAGCCACCAAAATACATACGTGTTTTGTATTTTCATCTTTGGGTCTGTGTTTATAAAAACCTCTTTACTTTGTTTTACTTAACATGTCATGAGTATTTTCCCATGTGACTAAATATCCTTTAATAATATGAAAATGGTAGTAGATTCAGTGGCTGCTATTGAACTACTTTCCTATCGTTGGATACCTGGGTTCTTTTCAGTGTATAATGTAATATTTTTCCTAGAGGGAGAATTATCTATTGTTTTAAACGTTGTTTACATTTTAGCCTCCTTCTGCTTATTGTCAAACTGTCCTCTTCAAAATTTACACAAGTTTACACAACCATCACCAGTGGATAGATAGACACAAAGGCATGAAGAGCCAGCATTGGGCTTAGCATATCCCACTATCCTTACACATTTCATTCACAAATTAACCTCCAAAGGCGTGTTTTCTTGTGCCCCGTGCACAGTTCACTTGAGCATTCAGTAGGAGTGCCTCACAGCCTAGGACCATTAGTGCTTTTGTCATCACATGAACAGCAATTGGCTCAAAACACTGCTCATTGTGATGCTGGTGATGAGGCCTCCTTAGTGTTCTAAAAGATTGGAACTACTTCAGTTCAGGATTTTTCTCTTGACCTTTCCTAACATGTTGAGAGTCAGAATTCAAATACTGTACAGTTTAAGCTACAGTATGCCTGCCCTGTAACTTGGTTCAAGGCATTTATAGTTGTCTGCTTATCATACTAACAAGGTGGAAAAAGCAATCCCAGTACCCCCAAAAGGTAAAATACTGTTTGTTGTATATTACTAGAGTTTTGAAAATAGGATAAATTATAGTACATTTAGGAATAAGTGCACATTGAGAGTTTTATGAGATATTTCAGGAAGAACACGTTTAACTCCAAACTTAAATATAAAATTTAATTCCTTAAGAACTGAGGTTGAGAGAGTAAAAAAATAGAATATGAAGCTTTTTTCTTGACATCACTTTAATTTATACAAAAAGAAGTCTATAATCCTATTTAAATTACATACTGTTTCATCACAAAAGGAAAGGACATCTTTTCTCGTGTGTCTTAATTTTTTGAGTCAAAATGGTTTGAATTTTGGCTAATCTCATTTGAAGCTTCTGTTTATTGTGTTCTTTTCTCAATGGCATTTTTTTCTTTTTATGTGGGGGTACAAGCAGTTGCCATTAATGAATAGAAAAGATTAAAAGTGTGAAATAAAGGACAATAATTCTGTCTTACGTTCCTACTGATACAGATTCTGACACTAGGTGGATAATCAATGATTATCAAAAAAGTCACTTTAAATTGAATAATCTTACCCTAGAGGAGAATTTACTCCCTTATTAAAAAAAAAAGAAAAAGATTTTTATTCTTTGTTGTGCTTTTTCTATGGCCCAATATCACTCGGAAATTTGACTTTGATTTTACCGAGTTGCAATTTTCCATGAATAGTTTCCAAAGTGAATAAAATGTTGTCAAAAATACTCTAGATCCCTTAATTTCAAGCTCTCCGTGACGTGTCGGCCGAACAACTGAATATAGATATTTCTTTTGCCGTGTCTTCCTGCGAACATTGCCCTAGTGATAGCTTCATATTTCTCTCATCTCATCATTCAGAAGCTATTTATCCATTTTTTTCCACTGCCTCCTTCAAACCTCCCCTTCCCCCATCGTTGAATGCCTATTCAGCCTCCACACATTCAGGCGTATTTATTCCCGTAAAGATAGTGACACTTAGGGTTTATTCTAAGACTAAATCTGTGTTGCCCAGTGACTAAGGACTCAAGCATGCACACTGCTTCTGTGCTTACCCTCCTACCTAACTTGACTACTCAACTTTTCTTCTTTCTTTCCCTCCGAATTCTCTGTTTTGGCACAGTTCAGTTAACACACCACTGCCAGGCCACTAATTGATTTTTGAAACCTGACATTTGTTTTTTGTTTTCTCCTATCTTCCCTCATGGTACAGCACTACTAAGCAGGAAGGAATGCAAAGAACTAGAAAGTTCAAAGTAATTGAGTATCTGTCCATTCACACTGTCTGGCTTCACGCCAATGCAGAACCTGGAACATTTGAAAAATATTTATCAAGTTTTAACCCTTTTGGCTAAGTCAGTGAAGCAGGTTTGCAGCTGGAGCATTTGTGTTCACAGCAACAGCAAGTAAGCTTGGTTGAACATGTCTTTTATATGTTCAGAACCGCATGGCAAATGTCTCAGAAAAGGATTTCTTTCCAATTTCTGTACTATTGTACAGTGCTAAGCTAATTATTTTCTGTGAGACTGCAGACCTGGGTATTTCAGAGAAACTGTTACTTAAAAGTGGCAGCCCTATTTCATGAACCCTTATGTCAGGAATGAAATTTAAATAAATGCTACTGTATTTGAGCAAAAAAGATTGTATTCAGCTTTTCTGCTGTAAATATGTTTCGAGCCCAACCATAGGTAGGTTCATATCTGCATTCATTAAGAAAAGTGGAAATATGAAAAAAAATTTAAAGGGCTATAAAAATATTTTATTAAAAGTTTATCAAATAGCTTTTTTTTTTTGCATTGGAAATGCTTTTGTAAATGAAAGCATGTTAAAAAATGGTGTGAAATGTAGAAATAATTCCAGTAAAATAACTGGATTTTATTGTAGCGAAAGCTTAGGTTGAAATAACAGGCCATCAACGCTCTGGTTAAAAAAAAAAAAGAGAGAGAGACAAAAGGAAAGGTCTAGATAGGTTTAAAAGCAAATTAAAATATAAATAGATACCAACTTGTATTAAATCTAAGTTAGATTTAAAGTTAAAAAGAATACAAAATTGTACTGAGTTATCTATATCACACAGGTTTGATCATGTTATCAGCATTAAGTACTAAAAATCTTGCAAGGTTCAATATTTTTTTAAAGTTACATTAAATCCCATACCAATTCTATAATCTGTTTCTAAATTATTTAATTATATAATTGGGTTCAATATCAGAGAAAATCAGGGCGGCTTTTTAAAGGTGAAGGTGGATGGTGTGAGATTGCTTAGAAAAAAATTTGCCAAAACACATTAAATAATACTTTGGTAACATGAAAGTAGTCGTCAACCATTCTCTGAAATCAGTGATCACAGCTCTAAAAATGAATCATTAACAAGAACAGAATGAAAAGGAGAAAAAATATATTTTACAGCATAATTTTATGTTTTCTAATAATAAACACCTGTAACACTTTGTGTATATAAACTTTTTTAATCTACACACTGAAACGAGATCCCTATCTTTGTTAGATTCACTTCTTGAGGAGAACATTTTCCTAAGAACTCTTTTTTGTAATAGCTGCCTTACTGTGAAGTGATGTTGTATATGTAAAAATGTCTAATGGTATAGTGTTCTGTCATCATATATACACATATGTAGTAATATTCCAGGCATTTTTATTTCAATGTATTGTTAACGGCTTCCCAATAAGCCAGATAAAAATCTTGTACAAGAACATTAAAGATTAAGGAAAGTGCTTTCCTTAGGTGATTGCTGGCAAAAATTCACCTTCCCATTATAACACAGTCAATGGACAGTGATATATTTTGGCTATTACTTTCCTACAAATTTGGATTCCCAGTTTTCAGAGCTGCTGCCTATCTAACGTTTGTGGCTTCTTTGGTTGCCTTTTCGTAGGAGTAGGTGCCATGGTGAAAGGTAAATGTGCTATGTTTCTGTTTTGTAAATATTAAACTCCACTTTTTGAACACACAGTGGTAGCAAAAATAAGTCAAAGATGTAATGTCTATTTAAATACGTTTCATCTAGTCGTCAGTGCTTAAATTAGATTGCATGCTTTGGCTAGAATCAACAGTGTAAATATTAAAAACTTCAAAATTCATATGACCCATCCCCCTCCTCTCCATACACGGATACGAGGTTGAAGTGTGTGTGAAAACTACTCCTACCCATTTAAATACTGTAGGGAAAGAAAAAAAAAGCTTTTATGTAAGGACTTAAAAAAATACTTGCCATTAAAACTTTTATTCAGGACATTCCAAATTTGCTTTGCTAAATGGATATATTCACTGCTAAAGATACACAGAGACAAGAGCTGTTTTTAAATTTATCACACCGCCCCTAGTTCTGCGCTAAAGAAAGTACATTTTGTATATTTAAAAATACACGCTCATTAAACAAAACTCTTCAAAACCCTAGCGCCCGCACCTAGCTGCCTTCTAGGTTTCAGCTTGTGAGTTTCAGGTCCTTGCACAACACCTAAGACCTGCAAAACTCTTTTTTCTCTCTAATCCTGGCAGAGAACAGTCCGTAGAGATCTCCCTCCACGTCTCCACCCGAATTCCCTCTCTTCCCCAGATTCCACCCGCTTCTTTCCTTCCTCCGCCCCCAGCTCCGCCAGCCCAATCTGTCAGAGAAGTTGTGTACAAACTGCGCGGCCGCCCTGCGCGCGAAGCTCGTGGCCCGAGAGGGGTGCGGTCCGCCCGGCGGAGGCGGAGCTCTGGGCAAGCTTCTCCTTTCTCATAGGCTAGCCGCTCCAGCCCGGCCGGCCTCGGGGCCTCGGGATTCGCCGGAGCGCTGCCAGTCTCGCCGCTGTGCCCCGCCCCCCAAGAGTTGGGTAAAATAGAGGCGGGCGTCAAGTGTCAGTAGTCGCGGGGCAGGTACGCGCGCTAGCAGCTCGTTCGGGGACACCGGCAGTGGCGGGAGCGGGCTCCGGGGGAGCGAGGGAGCGGGGCGGGGCGGGAGAAAGTGGTCGCCGGGAGGACATCGGCTTTCACGCGAGGCGGAGCGGAAGAGTTTGGGTTTTCGTGCGCGCCTTCAAAAACCGCGCCTGGTGTGAGCTGAGGGGTCCACCCGGAGCCTCCCCTCCTCCGCCCGCCGCCCCGCGCCGAGCTCGCCGGCCCGAGTCAGCGTGGGCGACGTGGGAAGCTCGCTCAGCCCGCACCCCGCGCCCGGAGCCGACCCCCGAGTTCCCATGGCTACGCGGGTGCTGACCATGAGCGCCCGTCTGGGACCTATGCCCCAGCCGCCGCCCCCGCAGGACGAGCCCGTGTTCGCTCAGCTCAAGCCCGTGCTGGGCGCCGCGAACCCGGCCCGCGACGCGACGCTCTTCCCCGGCGACGAGCTGAAGCATTCGCATCACCACCCGCAGGCGCAGCCCGCGCCGCCACAGCCGGCGCCGCCGCCCGCCGCCGGCCCGAGACTGCCAGCCGAGGAGCTGGTCCAGGTAGGAAGAGCTGCTCCCCTCCCTCCGCCTCCCTCCCGGGACTCGGGCGTGCCCCGCCGCTGCGACGCGCGGGCGACAGGGGCCGCTCCAGGCTGGGGCGCGCGTCGGGGCGCACCGCGGCCCGGGTCTGGGGGGCAGCCCCGCCCTGCCCTCCTGGCCGGGCACTCGCTTTTCGCCGGGAGAAGGTGGGGGTACCTGAAGGGGAGGGTCCAAGGGGAATCTGCCCTGGCAGCTCTGTCCGGGAAAGGGTAAGGAGAGAACTGGTGCTCACACGCACCTTAGTTGGTTTTCTTCCACTCGGGGGATGAAACCTCGTACCTCACGCCCTACTTCGCTTCGATTCCGCGTGTCCTCTTAATCCCGCCTCCTGCCGCTGCCCCGGCCTTGGACTCTCCCCCTACCCACCCCCGTCCCACGCTGTCCCGGGTTCAGTGGAAACGCAAATCGGGGTGCTGTAGGGAGGCCCCTCGGGGTGCTAGTTTCATATCCCTTGGCGCAACCTGCTTTAGACGCTATCGTAGGGCTGCCTTTGGGAAACGGGAGTTGGGAAAGCTAAGGTGGTGTTGGAGCGCTTATTTTAACTTAAAAAGAAAGACAAAGAAAGACCGGGGGTTGTTGGTTTCTTCATGTGCGTGTAAATTTCCTCTTGGAGCCTCGATGAAAGCTGGCAGTTGGCTTTTACACTTGCCCGGCAGCCGAATTAGAGCAACCGCCTGTTTCTTTCGCCCACGCAGGGAGTCATATAGCCCAGAAAAAACTTCCCGGGACTTTTAGCCTGTCCCAAGGAAAAAAAAAAAAAAAAATTGGAAACATACCCACATGCAAACAGCTGGAAGAGCTAAAATCAGAAACCACTAACCACCATGGGAGCGAAGTGCACGAAAGGGTTTAGTTCGGTTTATTTCAAGACGCCTCATTTAATAGACCCTTGGTACACTGTGTATTTGCTACCCAGCTTCTGCTCCGGGAGGTCTGCGAGTGTCGCAGTGCTGTGAAAGGGCAGTGGCATTTGTCAGAGAAGTGACTTACAAGACCAGAGCGTTAATTTTTATTTTTAAATCGTGTCTATGCGGGAGACACGGTCTATATCCACATCGAATGATTCGGGGTCTGATTTGAAACACTTGAAATTAAGTAGTAGCAGAAAATGACTGTATTATTCACTGGTTAGGATACCGTGGTTGATCGTTCTATGAGCATCTAGTTTGGGGTGCTTTGTGTGTGTTTGTGGGGTTTTTTTCTGTTGAAATTTCCTTTCAGTGTAAAAAATTGTAGAAGTTTATGTTATACCAGGAAAGACGATAGCTGGAAAAGACGGAGGAGACCAGTTACAAGCTGGGCTGTGTCCTAAAAAAAAAAAAAATCACCATTTTAAAATGATTTGGTTATTTGTCAGTTTGCTGCTTAGAAGACACAAGAGGATAAGGTTGAGCTTTTTACAGAGTGAGGGGGAATGTAGCATTGGCCCACTGAGGAGCACACGATAAATCTTTGGCTGATGACTGTGCTGGCGACAGGCAGCCTATCCCCACCCATGGGCCCCTTAGCACCACTCTACCAAGGGAATGGTTTTCCCCTAGGTAATTAAAGATCTGTTTTAGATAGGGATATGAATAGGAACATTTCATTATCATATTAACCAATTACAGAATCTGCTGATTAAAATCAACATTTAGATCAAATGGTGAAGGGTGAAGTTGGTTTGTTCTTTTCAGTGGATACTATGTTTTGCTCAAGACATTGTATTTAAGTTTCCACTGAACTATAAAATGGAAAAGGCACTGAAATAGCCAAGGAATATGTTTTATATTAAATATTTTAGCAATATCTACCCAAGCAAAAAAAAGGAGAGAGAGAGAGAAATTTTTCAATATTATGGTTAAGGTTTGCTGGGTTTTTTTTCTTTCTGTTTTAAACACTGAATTTACCTGTATGACATGAACAGAATCAAGGTAATTTGGCCATATTACAATACTGTATTTCAGCTGCAAACTTAAATGTAATGGGGCAGGGAACCTTGCTTGTACGTGAGTGATGATAAAGTATATTTTATTATTGCATCAGAAAGGAATATTTTTTCTGTTTGCTTCCTTTTGCTTCTTGGTTTGTCTCTTTCACTTTTTATCTGGGGTTGATTGGGGACTATTTTACCAAATACTTGTTAAACACAGTTTCGTAAGTTTTTGGTGAACCATTTTGTTACACAATTGACAAATAAACCAGATATGTTTATAAGCAACACTTAGGAGTTTGCCTTAGTACTTTTCATAAGGATTGTTGGGGGGAATTTTTAGTAAGCACAGTTTGTCCTTCCTGAGATGATGAATTGGGTGGATTATACATGTTTGTATCTCTTCTTTTTTAGACAAGATGTGAAATGGAGAAGTATCTGACACCTCAGCTTCCTCCAGTTTCTATAATTCCAGAGCATAAAAAGTATAGACGAGACAGTGCCTCAGTCGTAGACCAGTTCTTCACTGACAGTGAAGGGTTACCTTACAGTATCAACATGAACGTCTTCCTCCCCGACATCACTCACCTGAGAACTGGCCTCTACAAATCCCAGAGACCGTGCGTAACACACATCAAGACAGAACCTGTTACCATTTTCAGCCACCAGAGTGAAACGACAGCCCCTCCTCCGGCCCCGACCCAGGCCCTCCCTGAGTTCACCAGTATATTCAGCTCCCACCAGACCGCAGCTCCAGAGGTGAACAATATTTTCATCAAACAAGAACTTCCTACACCAGACCTTCATCTTTCTGTCCCTCCCCAGCAGGGCCACCTCTACCAGCTCCTGAATACACCGGATCTAGATATGCCCAGTTCTACAAACCAGACAGCAGTGATGGACAGTCTTAATGTTTCAGTGTCGGCCGCCATGGCGGGTCTTAACACTCACACCTCTGCCGTCCCGCAGACTGCCATGAAGCAATTCCAGAGCATGCCCCCTTGCACATACCCCATGCCAAGTCAGTTTCTTTCCCAGCAGGCCACTTACTTCCCCCCGTCACCACCAAGCTCAGAGCCTGGAAGTCCAGATAGACAAGCAGAGATGCTCCAGAATTTAACCCCACCTCCATCCTATGCTGCTACAATTGCTTCTAAACTGGCAATTCATAATCCAAATTTACCTGCCACCCTGCCAGTTACTTCGCAAAACATCCAGCCTGTCAGATACAATAGAAGGAGTAACCCCGATTTGGAGAAACGACGCATCCACTACTGCGATTATCCGGGTATGTGATCCTACCTGGTTGAAGCATCGATGTGTATTTAGTGTGTGTTTGTGTGTGCCTTTTTATACGGGAGAGTAGTGCTTGACAATAAAAAAAAAAATTCACCTACTCTGTTCTTGTCGCATCCCAGTCTCTGTGCCTTACCCAAGTTTGTAACCATTTAGTTACCTAGTGTTTATGTGATGTGTTAAAAAAGTCTGGAATATTTGGAAAAAAAGATTACTTTGGACTTTTTTCTCTTTAATATTATATACCTTAGAGTCTTGCTACATTTTCCTTGTTTACCGTAGCAATCTAAATTGGAGTTCTTAATTCTACATTAAGTACTCTGAAAAGGGATTACTTAAGTAAGGTAGGGGAAAATAAGGGGTGGGAATGAAGAGTAGGTTGCTACAAGGCAGAACTATCTACAGAATAGATTTCAAGGTTGGTTCTGATAGCATGTGAACATACGCTCATTCTTGAATGAGATACGTGGCCCAAAATATAAACTGATGACGGTTATGAATATATCTATAAGTTGCTGGCATAAGCTAGTTTATGATTAATACAGGGTATAATTTATTATACATGATATGGCATGACATACTAAATGAAAAAACGAGAAATGTGGGAGTACAGAAAATTGCAGTCATCTTGGATAATGGTTTAACGTTGTCAGCTCTAGAGCCATTAAAATTTTTTAAATCACTGAAGTATGTGTTACTAGTGTAAAGCACCTACTGGTATAAGCACACATTTCCCATTTGTAGCTTGGCTTGATTGCCTGCTCTCTTTCTGCTAAAGTGATACATAAAGCAAATCACATTATACCTTTAATCAGGTAGTAGGGGAGTATGCTTTAAGACATCTCTTAAAATTGAAGTTTCAAATACCTCCTTGTGTGAGAGATTTCTTCTTTAAAGCCAGATTTTAAACACCGAGTCATCAAATGTAAAGATTGCAAAAGGATCTCCAGAATGACACGCTGTTCTTCTCCTTTATTTTAGGCTGCACAAAAGTTTATACAAAATCTTCTCATTTAAAAGCTCATCTGAGGACTCATACTGGTATGTTAATTTTCTTGTTAATTCTGTGAGTTTTGTAAACAGTGTTAAGTGGTATTCATCCTCTAAAAGCCAACACGTGGTTTGATCTCTTCTTTCTTCTTTCAACTTTTACTTTTTTAATGGCCTACCTTTTCAGCACTGGCCTGGCTCAAAATTCAGTTCAGTGAAAAAGTTTGGTTCCAGGAAGGCTGACGTTCCCTCACTAAGGCCTTGCCCTGTCACCTCACATAGAATTAATTGCTCGCAAACATAAACAACAAAGTTTACTAATGGATTTTAAAACTTTAATGGCACTGTTATTCCTATCTTGAAGGAAAAAATGTAACTCATTTTCTCCCTCCGCAGCAAATCAGTTGGCTTCTATAAAACTATATCAAACACTAAAACCTTTTCTATTTAGCATGTAAAGCATAACTGCTGAATACAGCATCTTTAGTTTCACCTTAACCTAAAATATCTGCGTTTAGCATGTTTTCCGTGCTTGGTGAAAGGTAGGGTCGAAATTGCAGAGTATTAAAATCAGGCAAAACTGGGGTCGTGGTTTAAAAGTTACTCTACATCCTACCCCAGCCCATATTTTATACATCGGAGAGACTTTATCTTTATTCTAGCTTGTATCTCATCCGTGTCTAACATGTTTAGCCCCTATAATTTTGTGAATACATATCTTGTCAGATCTATACAATCATTTAAAAATGCTTTTTCATTTTAAAACTTTACATCAGAACTCATTTGAGGACGAAACGAGGTGGCAAGCTGTAAAAGCCTCCAAGTACCCAAAGTATTTGCAAATATATAGGTGGTTACTGTTCGTGATTTTCTTAAAAGGATAGCCCTAAAGGGAGGAACCTATACAAAGTGATGTTTTGGGTTTTTTTCTCTCAGTAAATGCAGCTTTAACCTAAAGTTCAGAGAATAAGTTTGCTAATAAAAGCAATGACTTAGCAAAATGTTTTATTCCATCATTGCTATGGAAACCAAAGTATTCAACAGTTCCTTTGAATGGGTTGTTGGATTAGTCTGAGGACTTGAATCTCCCCAGGCTGGATGTTACTATGGAAATTGAGTTTTGATAAATGAAACAGTTATCTCTTAACTGCTGCATTAAAAAGTAAAAGCCTTTGAACAAAGGTCAGTGCTGAGATCGAGCTCTAAGAGGAATATGGCTGCAGACATTTTGTATGCACGTTAGGAAGTATTACTTGATATCGCAGTGATAAACACTACTTCTTCAAACCTGAATAGTGTTGGCGACAACGTGGTAGATTCCAGGGCTTTCTGAGCAATTGCTTTTAAAGAAAAGACATCTTATGTATTTATCAGTGAAACCAATGGGTTAATCCGGCCCAAAGTTTTTAGATAGAGACAGATTGATTATGTAAAAGGAAAGATCCTACCTCAGCAGCCCAAAGCAGAAGTTATATTTATAGTTAAACAAACAGCCATTAAGCATATAAACTCAACCTGAAGTTTTCAGAATACATATGACAAGGCCATGAAAACATTCCCTATAGAAATACTAAACTATCCTTTATGTGTTATATATTAAGGAAACATTGAAAATGGGTTTTTACTTGAATTTTGATTAAGGAGAAGAGGAAATACCTTCAAAACTTCTGAACGATTGTTTTATTTTCCTTTGAAAGTCCTTGAAACAGGAGCTAGAAAGGAGAGAACACGTTTCTCCTGAGGTTAAAGTCTCCTAATAAAAGAGGAGGGCGATACTGTATAACGATGTAGTCAACTGCTTATTGCAGGGATGTAGTCAGAGCATATCTAAGTGGCCTTGTAACCCCTGTCAGGGTTTAGTGCTCTGAACGCTTATACCTAGGATTCTGGAACTTGACCTGCTGGCAGAGAAATTTAATAGTGGGTTGTCTTAACAATGCTCGTACTTAAAAAAAAAAACAACTAAAAAGAAGATGTAGGCCTAGTTTGGGTCCCATGCATCGACTTTTTCACCAGATCATAAATGTGTGGCCATCGACCTCTGATGAGTGAGACCCTGTAATCCAGTTTAATAAAGTTTTGTTTGATAGCCTTTCAGATGCCTTGGGGAGGGTTTGTAGCAGACTTGTTCATCTGGCTAAACCCGTTCTTGGGTAATCATAGAGCATTGAGGTTGTTTTCTCCTCATTTCTAGTTTCTAGACAATGCCTTTGAAAATTACCTGTGCTCTCTCATTGCATCCTCCCCTCCCTGCCTGTTGTTTTTTAATGAATGTATCTGAAGCCAGCGAAGTCTTTTTTTTTCTTCTTCTTCTTTTAAAGGCCCAGGTATTTCTAAGTAACTGCTCTCATGTATTAGATTTTTGTTTTCTTTCTGTCTCCCGCCCACCCCCTGCCCACCTCCCCTGACAATTTTTTAGGGGACTTGAAAAACAATTTATATGGGAAGGTCGATCTTGTTTTTGATATCAAAAATAAAAAATGACTTTTGAAATGATTGCCATTTTGCAGGCAGAATGTGAAGGACCCTAGGATTTCTTTGGAATATAATTGTGATTGCTTTAAAATGTCTAGTTACCTTATGTTTTAAAAACGATTTAAGCAATTAAAACAGCCTATGCCTGAGTTCTATTTAATTGCATATTCTGGATTTTTAGATTGCAAATGCTTCTTGACTTAAAAATTGAACCTAAGGAAATAGTCCTTCCAAAACAAGACCTTTTTAAAAAAATTTGGGATGAAAGAGTAGAAAATAATCAGTTTCTTGAACCAGAAGTCTCATAGCATTCAAGTTTTTCTAAGTTTATACACTTCGATTTCTTTATTCAGAAAGAATATGCAAATAATAAAAAGTTCTATATATGGGTAGACAGGATACCTGAAACGGATGTTTCCTCTTTTCTAGGGAAAAAACTATTTCACTTAAAAACATGCTGCATCCTTTATATACATGTGGTACCATACTTATAAGCCTATACGGGTACCCTTAAACGTGTGTAGGGGTGTTTGTGTGTTATTTGTAGTGTGTGTATATACATGTCATGCCTCTGGTTAGAAATAATTATGGCTGCTTCTAGGCAACAGTGTCAAGAAGTGTATATTTCCAAATAAAATTATTTGCACTCTTAACAGCATTTAAATTCGAACATTCTACTGAAATTTGTGTAAGCCTCATGATGTGTACAAGGGTCTTTACCCATTGCCATCATCTGAAAGCTGCTCCCAAGCACCTTTTTAAAAAAGAGATTCACATACCATTCTGCCCTTACAAATCAAGGTGACTGTTAAACTGATTCATAAATCAAAAAGAATATTCTGCGGCAACCAGCAGTATCATACATCTTACTGTCTTTAATTTCGTAGTGAAGATTTTAAAAACTTCTGAGCACAGGCTTGGGGCCAAAATATAGGAAAAAGTTAAGACTATATATAACAAAGAAAAATTTGCAAGAAATTGAAAACATTTCTCATCATCTGATACTGGTTTCTTGAGTGTGGAAATTTCTTTGAAAATTGTGTTTACACATTAGTAAAAAGTACTTACTTTCCAAAGAAAGAGTTCTGAAGAAGTAAATAGTGAACTCTGAATACAGATGTTTGAAATCTGAGTAGTTGTAGTCACATGTATGGCTGTGCACTTAACCCTAGAGTATATACTAAAGCAGTTGGGAAAAGCGGGTATGGTAACATTTTAAGGTCCTTTGTCAGCTGTCTGGAGCCGGGCAGAAAACGAGCATCTGTGCAGAATCTGAGCAGCACACGCACTGGGCTCCAGTATCCCTTAGACCCAGACTCTGCACGGGCTGCCACGTGGGGACTAAATGACCCCAGAACGCCCTGCCATGGGTTGACAAGAAAAGGACCATTGGAAACACCCCACAGAAGAAAATGGAAACGTAAATAACATAACAACACAAAATGGACTGTGGGTGAAGCACTATCCTGTTAGAATCTCACAGTGAGCTGTATTTGGGATTCCTTGTTTAAGAAAGAATTTCACATTAAGCTTTGCAAAGATTTTGAGCCCAAGCCTACTTGTAAAGAGACTAAATTCCTACGTTCTGCCTTACTTGCTCTGTAGAACACTTTCTTTTCTAATGACATTTATATTAAGATGTTACCATGTATACTTTAAAATACAGAATCTCTGCTAGAGATTTATTGCTAAGCATTGATTTTAGTTTCAGTTTGGGTACTAAAAAATCCTTAGGTATAAATTCCTGTCTAGTTCCTTGCTCTACACTTATTATCCATTAAATATATTAGGTATGGATTTTTATTTTAAAATACTGACCATGTTGATAATAAAGGTATTTTGATTTGTAGCACTTCCCCACAAATAGAAAACATTCATAATGTTCTGAGCATGAGTTACTCCTTTTGTGGAACTGTGGGAAGTGGTAAAACACTTAAAAAATATAGGAAGGACTTCATTTCCTTAAAAGATGATTTAGAGCTAAAATCAGCGTATGATTGTATATATGGCCTTAGTGGAGATCATGCAGTTTGGATCTAGAGATCAATATTGGTTAAATGTGTAACCTGTGTTATCTGTAGAGGCGAAGAAGTTTTGCAGCATGAAATTATTTAGTGCTCAGTGATTTTTTTGAGTCTATATTTGAAAACTATGTAGGAAAAAGTATCACATTTAGCCTGTGTTATATGTTACTAGTTAAACATTCTTAAATTATTTTTGTTTGCAGCTTTGAAATTTATTTTCTGTATTGACAATTTCAAGTTAATGTAAACAAAAAAAATAGTGGCTTAAAGAGATTCTCTGGTTCAGACCCCTGGAAAGGTATTTATGAGCGTGAAAGCTTAGAAACAATTTCTTTTTAATGACTCACTGGGAAGATTAAACTTTGCTTTTGGGACTTGTTCTTTCATCGAAAAACATTTACATAGGAAATTGATTAAACGTTATTTTGAGATGATAAAGCTTATGGAAGGTTAAGAAGTATAATTTGATTAAGTAAACGTTTTTGACTGATCTTGTGGAGGATCCAAAGAGAATCTCTTCTTCCTTCTGTTTTTATAAATTAGTGGGAGAAG